CCTCCCCCTGACCGTTCCCAACTCCCCCAGATCCCTCAGCGCTGGCTCAGCCCGACTCTTCAACCCCTCCAGGGATCCCGGGGACTCCCCCCTGCCCTGGGCAGCCCATTCCAACGCCCAACAGCCCCTTCTGCACAGAAATCCTTCCTCAGAGCCAGCCTGACCCTGCCCTGGGCAGCTTGAGGCCATTCCCTCGGGGCCTGGCGCTGGGGCCTTGGCTCCAGAGACTCATCCCCCCTCTCTGCCCCCTCCTGGCAGGGAGTTGCAGAGGGCCAGGAGGTCTCCCCTCATATAGTGGGGAACATCCAGGCTGCATCAGCATTGATTCCCAAAATGACCGGTTGCTGGAAAAAGGAAGGATTTTCACCCACCAGAAGCACCTTCCAGAGCAGGAGCAGAACCTTCTTCATAGGGAAGTGTGGAGCGTGGCCACTGCAGAACTTGGTCACCATTGTGAAGAGCAGAAGAGCAAATGGCTCTTCAGTGTGCATGGGGAAACCTGGTGGGGAGAGGGACCAAGAGCATGTTCCGAGCAGATCTCCCACCCCTGAGGTCTCCAGCACAATGAAGGGACCTCGTTAGGGCACAATGAACTCTGTGGCTCACTCAGCTCCATCCTGAAGGTCTCCCGGCAGGTCTTCCACTCAGGGGGATCCGTTTCCTGCTCCACACGGATGTTCTCCACCATCAGGTACATGACACTGAGCAGCACCCTGCCAGGACAGCAGGGCAGGCAGGTGACACTGCCAGCCAGAGGCCACTTTGTCCCCAGAGGCTGTCCCACAGCCTCCACCCAACACGCTAGTGGAGGGCTGAGTGGGATACCTGAGCTCGGTGCTGTCGGCCAGCGAGATGGCCGGCTTCCGCAGGGCGCTGCTGCAGGCCTGGCTGTTGCTGCAGGGAAGGGGATGGGCTCAGTGCCAGCCACCAGGCACCGGCTGCTCCTCACCCCGGCCCCTGCCAGGGACACCGCGCTGGGGGACGTGTGGTGGCTGTGGCACCTCCCTGGTCCTCAGTGAGGAGGAGGAGGAGGAGGAAGGAGAAAGAAGAGGACGAGAAAGATGGGGAGAAAGAAGGTGAAAAAGATGAAGAGGAGGAGGATCAGGAGAAAGTGGAGGGCAAGGAGGATGGAAGAAGAGTGTGAGGAGGATAGAGAGAAAGCAGATGAAGAGGAGGAGGATCAGGAGAAAGATGATGAAGAAGAGGAGGGCAAGGAGGATGGAAGAGGGCTAGAAGGATAGGGAGAAAGAAGATGAAGAGGAGGGTGAGGAGGATGGAAGAAAAGGGTGAGAAGGATGGGGAGAAAGGAGATGAAGGAGGATGAGGAGGGTGAGGAGAAAGTATAAGATGAAGAAGAGGACAAGGAGGGTGAGGCAGTGCGGGTCCTCTCACTCAATCTCCATGTTGAGGAGCTCCAGGAAGGCGGTGAAGGTTCCCAGCCGGTACAGGAGGAAGCTGTTGTGCCGAGACCAGTGCAGGATGTCGCCTTCGTTATCGCAGTCTCCGAAGACACCTGGAGAGGCCCGAAGGAGGCCCTGGTTAGGGGGGAGCTGCCTTTGGACCCCTGGAGCACACGGGACCGTCCCAGGCAGGAGCTTCACTGCATCGAGCTGACACAGCCCCGGGAGGAAGCTTCTCCCCAGCCCCCAGGCCGAAGCCAGGCAGCGGATACGCGGCCACATCCGAATGCGGGGGACGTGTCCTTACCCTGTGCCAGGTAGAGGATGGCCCGTGCTACTTTGAGCCGCTTGTCCCTGTTGACCACCTCAAGCCCATCCAGCAGGCGCATGACGTAGGCCTTCTGCTGAGCCCCGTCCAGCTCCAGCCACCTCCTGCCCTGCACTGGAGAGGGGACACGACAACCAGCCGGGTGCCTCCCCGGGGGTCCTGCTCTTGTCTGGGTGGGGGGGGCTGCCCCGAGCCCCGGGGTGCTGAGCCCAGAGCTGGTACCTTGAGTGTGAAAATCCTCCTCAAAGCATCTCCTGTTGGTGCTGAGCTCGGGCTCCTCGGTGTAGCTGTACAGCTCTGATGGAGAAAGGGCTCAGCAGGGACCTGGAGGAGTTTCACCTTCCTCCTCCTCATGGCCAAATTCCTTGTGGGACTCTGAAACCTCCCCCCACTCCCGGCAGAGACCTGAACTCACCCCTGAGCTCTTCTGCAGCTCCACGGGGCATCTTGGAGCCACACAACGCTACCAAATTCATCATGTTCATCCCCATGGCTGGGCTGGGCTGTTCCCAGGCTCCTGCCCACAGCGATGGCACTCAAGCTGCATTTGCAATTACATAGGGGTTTTGGGGGGTTTTTTTGGGGGGAGAGGTGGTGGTGGTGGACATTTCTGTTCCAATTAAGTCAGTTTGCCAAGGGAGGGACCACAGGAGCACCCAGACAAGACCTGCCCTGATTTCACACCCAGCAGCTCAGACATTTTGGGACCTGAAAACTGGGGCTGGACTTGGAGGGACACGATGTTGTGCCTGTTCTGTTATAATTCTTACCAATTCCTCTCTAATTCCTCCAGTCCCGCAGTGCTGAGCAGCACCAAGAGGAACTGAAACGGTCCTGCGAGGGAGGAGGAAGGATCCCTCACAGAGAAAATGTGCTTTAGGCAGGGCTGAGACACACACAGAGCTAAAAATAACCCCTGTGCCAGTCGAGATACGCTCGGGACCCGGAGGGTTACGGGGCAGAAGCAGCCGGAGTCGCTGCCCGGCAGGAAGATACGGGATGAGGACTCGACCCGTGGTGACACCCATGATAGAGGGTGACACTTCCCAGGCTGGGCCATGCCACCGGGCACACCGCCCATCCTCCTCCCCCCGCATGCCTCTCGTCGTGTCCCAGATAATTCGGAGCGCGGGGTAATCCCGTGGCCCCCACACGTCCCTTTTTGCTCATCCCCAGGGAGCGAGTGGCTCTCTATTAATAAATCCCTCTTGCTCTATTACCGCAAGGATGATACCGCTCCATATCCATCCCCCAGCCCGCTCGCCCGACTCCGTGAGGGATTTTTTTTTTTTTATATTATTTTTTCTTTCCCCCCGGTGGGCACCTATTAATAGCAACGCGGCCCCCAAGTGCCACTTCACCTGCTAACTCGGCGCCGTGGCCGTCGGCATCCCTGTACTCGAACTCCAGGTTGGGGCAATCCACGGAGCCCTGCGGAGAGTGGGTTGGGGTTAGCGGGGGTGGGGGCTGGCACAGCCCCACGGATATTTCGGGAGGAGGACGGCTGCCAGCGCTCTCAGCCTTTGCATTAAAGCTCCTCCAATGACTCGTGCACGGATGATCTTGACACGAGGCTCCAGGGCTCGAGCGAGAGACGTCCACACGAGGCTACTTAAAATACAGCGCAAATTCGGCAGGCGAGGGTAAAAATAGCATTTCCCAAGTCCTCGGGAAAGCAGAGGCAGGACTCAAAGTGCCGGGGAATATTTGCTGCATTTCAGAGCCCCACTTACGCTCCAAAACAAAGTCTGAGGTTGATTTGAAGCAAAAGTGCCTGCAAGGATGCAACACCCCCCCCCCCCCCCC